TTCTGTGAGTAAAAGAGAAAGAGAGTTTATTCTTGGTTCCTTCTCTGTTATCAGTCTTTTTTCTTTTAAACTATTAGATCAAATTCTTTATGATCAGAAATTTTTCCTTTCCCCTCTCTGACCGAGATCGCCACCACCAACCCTGCCCTCTGGAAACACTTACCTGCATGGGAATCCATCACCACAGATTCTTGGGTACTCTCCATCATCAAAAATGGCTACCGCATCCACTTCTTCGAACTTCCTCTGACAACACATGTTGTTACTCCTCCGTCACAACCCCTGCAAGAAGAAATAACAAATTTACTTCTCAAAGATGCCATACAACCTATCAAAACAACACCAGGTTTTTCTCTCACTATTTCACAGTCCCCAAGAAAGACAGGGGGCTTTGCCCTATTCTAGATTTAAGATTATTAAACAACTACATTGGCACCACAAAATTCTGCATGGTTACTCTAGAATCAGTTCTTCCCTTACTTCGAAAAAACGACTGGTTCACCATCATAGACCTAAGAGATGCTTACTTTCATATTGCAGTACATCCCGCACACAGAAAATTCCTTTGTTTCCAACTTGGATCACAAGCATACCAATTCAAAAGACTCCCATTTAGCCTTGTGACAGCTCCAAGAGTGTTCGCCAAGTGCATGGTGCCAGTAGCCGCCTACCTCAGACTTCAAAACATTCTCGTCTTTCCATATATCGATGACTGGCTCCTTGTACCACACTCCCATCGCAAAGCTCGATGAGACACCCGTTTCACCCTCGCCCTTCTTTGCGATCTTGGTCTATCAACGAACAAAAATCAAAATTAAAACCTACAATGACTGTACATTAAATAGGTATGCTCATAGACTCCACACGAGCTCACACATTCCTCCCTGCAGAAAAATGACAAAATCGCTTCACTCTACTACACAGCTTCACTCCGCATGCCCTGATGCCTGCCTTAATGGTGCAACGAGTTCTAGGCACCATGGCCTCTATGATGTCAGTTGTACAACATGTACGTCTCAAAATGAGATCTCTCCAATCCTAGTTTCTGGCCCTATTTGATCCACTAACAGACTCTCCCCACACTCTCCTAAGAGTCACTCCAGAATTGGCCCCTCAACCTCAATGGTGGCATTCTCATACCAATCTTTCTATCGTGCGACCATTCCAACAACCTTTCCCGCGAATACAAGTCACTACCGACGCCAGTCGCACCAGCTGGGGGGCTCATTGCAAATCCCTCAGTCCATACCAAATGATCTCATAGAGAAAAACTGCTCCACATAAACAAGTTGGAGCTACTAGCCTTCATAAAGGCCTGCGAGGCTTTCAGAAACCTTCTTGAAGGAAAAACGGTACAGATCGCCACTGATAACACCACGGTGATGTACTACATCCTAAAACAAGGTGGCACCCACTCCCCAGGTCTCCACTGCCTAGTGGTCGACCTCTAGGAGTAGTGTCTGCAATATCACATCTGTCCCACAGCCTTACACATCACTGGTCAGGACAACAACCTAGCGGATTCGCTCAGCCGTACAGACGCTCAAGCTCATGAGTGGGAACTAGATCAATCAGTATTCTGCAACTATGCTGGAAATGGGGGACACCGACTCTCTTATCTCTTTGCCTCCCGAGCAAATCGGAAATGTCAACTGTATTGCTCCCGAGCAGGAATAGGAAAACATTCCCAGGGAGACGTGTTTGTCCGCCGTTGGCCCAAGCCTCTTACCTACCTTCTTCCACCCTTCCCTCTCCTCCACAAAGTTGTCATCCATCTACAACAAGACAAAACCAATGCCATCGTTATAGCGCTTTGGTGGCCAAGACAAACTTGGTTCCCAGTTCTCTGCAGTCTCTCATCAGACATCCACCGTCTCCCCCGTCTGCCACTCCTTCTCACACAGAATAATTCCCTACCCCCGGACTTCCCTGTTCTGCACCTGGCAGCATGGAGGATTCTCCCTCGTCAATGAACGTCCTTCATCATTCCAAAAAACCATCCACAAGGAAACCCTACCTGTACAAATGGAAGAAATTTCAATCCTTTACCAAATCTTCCTCATCATCACTTTCCATTGTTCTCCGCTTCCTCCAGAGGCCTGGAAAGAAAGAACAAGAAACTGGGCCTTCTCGGCAGTGGCCCCTTGCATTTGGAACAGCTTGCTGCCAGAGATCTGTCTGGCACCCTCGCTGGGTGTTTTCAAAAGCCAATTAAAAACTTGGCTCTTTAGGCAGGCCTTCCTTCCTGCCAATACTTGATTTTTACTTTTCTTGGTTTTTTGTTGTTTATCTTCCCATCTTGATTATATTATTACTGTAGATGTTGTTGTTTTTTAAAATCCGTTTTGTGCACAATATATTGTGAGCCGCCCTGAGTAGACTCCTGTCTAGAAGGGTGGGATAAAAATCTAATAATAAACAAACAAACAAACAAACAAATGATTATAGGACATGTAGTCAGAGAAATATAAGATGGAGTCAGACAGGTTCTGTGTGAAGATGATTTGAGAGACATTGGAATGTGTTTTTCTAAGTGCTATAAGAGTGTTTTTCTGAAGCATGATTCGAAATAGAGCTGAAGGTTGAATCAAGGGGCCCATGGAAGATTCATTCTGAGCTAATTGGAGAAAAGATAAAACACCTGGACTTTCATGAGAATTAAGAGAGGAAGAAGGGGCTACAGCCCCTTAAGCCTAATTGGTTAGCAGCCATGAAGTGTCAAGAAGAAGGGAGGAGTTAGAGAATGTAGAAAATGGACAATGAGTTATGTGAGAAGAGAGGAGATAAATAAAATAAAGTTTTGGAATCCAGAAGAAAGCAATAAAAGAACCCACAAAGGTCCAGTAGGCGTTTTAAGGCATTTTAAGCATGAAGGAATGAATTCTAAGCAAATGCTCTGAGAAGCAGAATCCACAGGAAAGATGCCCCCAGAGAAAGCTCAACAACTTGTGGTTGCCAGCTAGCCCCAAGAGGGAGTCCACAGGGGAGAAAGCACTCATTAAAGAGTACTAAATGTAGGGAATGTCAGTTCACTCAACTTTCAAACTCTCTAAATAAAATACACTGCAGGATAACTCTCCTCCCATTTTGTATGTGATATCAGCTTTTATTTTTTAAAAGGAAAATTAAAATATTGCTCTTTGTTCAGCAGTAAAGAAATAAATATATTTCACTGAGAAAGCTAACTTGCAGTTAGATACCATTAAGAAGACAAATATTCCCCACTTGGTGGGTAAAAAAAGAGTGTACTTGTGTGCTTAGGAAGCCCTTTATGCTTTTCTAGTTGTGTTCCTGGAATCTCATTCATGTCCCACTGAAGTCAGTAGAATATTGCCAGATTTTAGTTTGAAATATATTGAATTGTAATTATTACTAATAGATTAAATTACCTTATATAAATATATACATAGGATTACATATCAACATATTAGGTATAATAGTATGAATTATTAAATATAAGGTAAAGGTTCCCCTTGACAATTTGTCCAGTCATGTCCGACTCTAGGGGGCAGTGCTCATCCCCATTTCCAAGCCACAGAGCCAGCGTTTGTCCGAAGACAGTTTCCGTGGTCATGTGGCCAGCGCAACTAGATACAGAACGCCATTACCTTCCCACCGTGGTGTTACTTATTTACCTACTCGCATTTTTTAACATACTTTCAAACTGCTACGTTGGCATGAGCTGGGACAAGCGACGGGAGCTCACTCCATTGCGTGGATTCGAACTGCTGATCTTTCGACCTTGGAGCCCAGAGGGTTTACGGTTTAACCCGCAGTGCCACCACATCCCACATTACTAAATATAGTTTGCATTATTATGAAATACAGTAATATGAAATAGGCATATTCATATTTGTTCATTTTGCCAGCTTTATGAATCCTAGTGAATGTTCACTCCTTAATTATTCTTTAGTTATTACCACTGAGCATATAAATTCAACACTCTCAAAATGTGTTTACTGTTTTTGTTCCTTCAGCTATAATAGTGGAAAATTTCTCACTATTTTATTCCACGGAGGAAGACCAACTCTTGAGTTATAATGATCTTAGACATTTTCAAATTATATGGAACATGGTTGATGATAAAAGGGAGGTAAGAGATTTCACTGCAGTTCTCTTCAGTACTTGCCTTGTGAATGAACTGTCTGAAAGAAAAAGCAAATAAAAGGCATTGTATTTCTTAACAGAACTGAATGTCAACCTTCATTTCATGTTAAGAGGAGCAGGAAAAGGAGTCTTCTAAGTTCAGTAACTTTCAGTCTGTATGCTCCGACACATGTGAGCTTTGAAAGTGTTACTGCATTTGCATTGGCCTATAGTAAGAAAAGAGTTGGACAAATGCTTCCATATTGCAAAACTCTGTCTTTTAGGAATAACAGTGACATTGATGGAGTAGTAAATTTTGAAGCTCAACATTCATCATAAGAGTGTCCATAGCAATGCCCCCAAAATGAGTTTAAAAAAAAATACTGGTGGCTACCAATAAGCCAGTTCTTATCCCAACCAATAGAAAATCTTTTGTAAAGCTAATAGGTGTTAATGACCAATTCAAAACCAAGCCACCATGAAATATTTCGTATTACAGCAGGACTAGTCTGAACAATATTGTATTGCCTGCAAAATGGGTTCCAGTCCCTAGTTACTGTGAAGACTGAAGCTAAGCTCAGAGGGAGTATATTAAGTTAGCAAAAACTGTGAATTTTCCCTTCATATCACTGCTTACTTTAGTCATGGAAGAGCTTTTTTTTTTTTGCTTTAAAGATTAATACTGGTCATTCTCTCAGCCTGGCCTTGAGCTTGAGCTAATTATGTTTATAATTTTTGGGGTTTGTTTGGTTTTTTGTGAACTAATCATCTTTCCCAGGCATATTGATCCAACTGTGCTATATACCTCTCAATAAAACAGGTCTTGCCTCTTCTGTGTAGGAGATAAGCTACTCCTGCTCCCATGCCTTCCTAACTTAGCTTCTTTTAGTTTCTTTAATGAAGGGAGACTTATGACAACCACTGCTAAACCATTGGCCTTCAGCCTGTTTTATAGGCTTGGGAGTTGGCATGTGCCCAAAAACCAGTGCTCCACAGGAATTATGTCTGCTGGACTGGGGCGGGGGGAGTACTCAGGCTACTCAGGGAGTACATCATTATCCCTATAATCAGAATACTGCTGCTTTCAAAAAAGCTGTCACAAGGTCCTCCACAGGAGCTGTTGTTGCTGCTGCATCACACACTACCCTCATGGGGACAGCTACCAGCCACTTCCTCTTGCTACCAGAAGAAGGCCTAGTTTTAATCCTTCTATCCACACCACATCCTTTGGCTTCAATTATGCTGGCTGTTTTTATCCGTAAGACCTTGCTGGGATCTTTGCTGATGAGAAACAGTGGGAGACGTGTCCCCCCAAAAAGTACCTGTAGTGCTCCTTGCATCCAGATCTTGTTGAAGACAATCTTGTTGACTTGCCATTGGAAAGAACAGAGAGGCACAGAATAAGGTACTAAGGTCCAGGCTTCTTTTGGTGGCATTTTGGAGCCACACATTGGTGGTGGTTCATTGCATGATGGGAAGAACACGGGATTGTTCACAGTACGTGGGGGAGCCAAAACTATTGTGCTGTCTGAGGTACCTACTATTGTGCTGTGTGAGGTAGTTTAGTTAATGGTAGGGCCAGCCCCAATGGGAGCGGGGTTACCATCCCTACTATTGTGCTGTCTGAGGTACCTGTTGTAGTTTAGTTAATGGTAGGGCCAGCCCCAGCTGAACTTTGAACCTGCAGCCACTGACATCCATGTACTGTTGTTTAATAGCCTGAAACTCCTCATGGCAATAACAGCATGGTTGTTCCTTTTTTTTCCTAGGGAGTGATTCCTACCTTCCGTGTCAAGTTTTTGCTGAGGTTGCTGCGTGGGAGGTTGGAAGTGGACCTCGATAAGGACAAGCTCCTGTTCAAACACATGTGCTACGAAATGGAGAGGCTGCACAATGGTGGAGATGTAACCTTCCATGATGTACTGAGGTATATGGGATGGCACACGGAGGCAACAAGTAAGGCTGTAACTAAGGCCCACTTTCTTGGGAGCAAGCCTTACATAAATTAGCAGTGCTTACTTCTTGAATAGACATGTGTAGGCCTAAACTCTAAATAAATTACAATTGCTTTGGAAGTATTGCATATAAACAGATTGCCAATATAGACATTTTATAGGGACTGCAGAAAATACTCAAATAGGGAAATACGTGTTACTAAAAACTACTTTTCTAAATACACCTAGCCAATTCCCACTACTGTAGTCATCACGTAATAACCACAGTTATCAGGTGGCATTTTGGATGCATGAAATTGATTAGATTGGCTATCAAAAAGGACTAATTGAAGGCATTATAGGACCAACCACTTCATGGGAAGAAATACTTTATTTTTAAAAGGTATCCCACCCAGTGAAGGTTGCTGGCTCTGGGCAAGATCATGCTTGTTGATGCTCTCATCATAAGAGCTGTAAACCATAATGAAAGTAGCAGAGCAAATGAAGTAGCTGGATGTACTTCTTCTACGCAGCCCAAAAGCCAGCTGGCATTCTCCAGCTGATTGCCACTGATAACTAAGCAATTGCTGGTGAACGACATCTGGAAAATGCTAGTGTTCTTCTTGTGGGCTTTCCCTAGATAGTTGGCAGATGACTATAGGAAACAGGACACTAGGCTAGGGTCTTATCCAGCCAGGATCCTGTAACCCTCAATGCAGAATGTGGTTTGTTCCACTTTGCATTTGACACTTGCCTCCAGTCTGTCTAATGGGGTGGCTGCATAGTTTCTCAGTTTCCTTCATTTTAGAAATTCTCACTGGATCACAGAGCTATCAGATAAACCTTTAAGAGTAAAATAAACATATCTTCCAAAGGAAATGTATGTTACAGCCACTTTTTGTTCCTATAAACAACACTGAAATAACCTTCTGTTTTTCCTTTTGCTTATTAGTGTCGTTATTTTTTTTTTCCCTAGCATGCTCTCATATAGATCTGTTGACATTAGAAAGAGTCTTCAACTTGAGGAACTGCTTGCCAGGGAACAACTGGAGTACACCATAGAAGAAGAAGTAGCCAAGCAGACCATACGCATGTGGCTGAAAAAGTGCTTGAAGCGCATTAGAGCAGTAAGTTGTCCTTGTGTTGGGCATACTTCACATAATTTTCATACTTAAACAAGTGTTGTTAATTTTGAGAGAGCTTTGGATCATTCACACTTCTCCAAATATTCAGTACTTTAAAACATAAGAGTTGTTGTTGTTGTTGTTGTTGTTGTTGTTGTTATTCCTGTTTATACGTTTTATTTAGCACTGTGGTTATACATGCTTTATGTAGTAGCGTCAATATAAAAGACAGGTCCTCACTCCCAAGATGTTTACAGTTTACATTTTGAAAGTGGGAAAGACAACAAAGAGAAAATGAGAAAAGAGATTAACAGTGGCAGCCCATTTGGCATTTGGGGGTAGGGGATATAAAATATAAACTGCCCGCTTGAAAATCTTCAAGGCATTTCAAAGCAAGGTGAACCCCACTGTAAAATTAAACTTCTTGCTGAAACCAAAGGGTTGTGTTCACTTATGAGAATTTGTTTTGTTTCTAATTATGTAACTATATTTGGGTAGGAAAAAAAATTCTGCGGCACCAGTGATTCAGAAACAGAAGCTAGCCATAAATTTCATGAACAGAACAGGAATGAATTCAAAACATTAGAAGCATCACTGTAGTGTTTTCAAATGAAGAATGCAGCTTTGCATCAGAAACACATTTTAAAAATGGATGAACCAGCAAGGCAGTACTCTGCTTACTATTTAGAGGCCATCTTCTGAAGTTGATTGGTACCTCTGAATGTGTGACAATTAATGTTAACTACACCTATTTCTACATCTCACTACTTTGCATTTCAACAATTGAAAATCAGCTTATAGGTTGGTATGTTTTTGCACTGATACATCTCATACAAACATTGGTAAAATGAGCACTTCCTGTATGAGGTTCTGTGGTGATCCATTAGAAATAATGCTTTGTTATATATTCTGGAGAGAGACAAACTCTAGTTTAGGAAGGGGGGAAAAAGAGACAGGGAGCATCGTTTTCCAAATTTGTATTTGCTGAAGCTGAAAATGAGTGTGCGGATTAGAGTGTCAGAGTAGTACTGTGGAGACATGGTTTCAAATCTCCATGTGCCCATAAAGCTTATTTGGTGATCTTGGGCTAGTCACTAGCTCTTCAGCCAAATGACTTCTTTGCCCTGTTCTGAGGATAAAAATTGGAATTCATGGAGCTGCTTTGAGCTTCTTGTAGTACATGTAACATACAACATTACTTGTTCCTGTTACAGCAATAACAGTCATGGAGCACTGTCTACAGCCTCTTCGAAAAGTCAGCAAGAGCTTGGCCTTGTCAAAAACTCTTTGGCTTTGTTTTTTATACCAATACTATCTATAGATAGTAGGCACATTAGTAAATCTGGTACTTCCAGTTCATATGGCAGGTTGTTTTAATTGTGTTACAACCATTATAGATCCCTTTTGGATGCAATTTCACTGATACATAAACATAGCACAACATGAAAGTCACACTTGATTTTTTTTAAGGCAGTTTCTGCTGTAATCTGGTTAATCTTGTCTAGTGTCGAATTAAGAAAATCTCTAAAACCAATTGACTTCGATTGCCTCTAGATGAGCTTTATAAGAGCTATTTTCTTCTAACTGACCATTTCCTTTTAAATACCTCTTTAAATAGTCTGATAAGGCAGACTGGAACAAAATTAAATGGTACCTCAAGCTGTGTGAATGTGATTGCGCAAGAAGAGTGTCTTGTAACTATTTTTTAAAAATCAAGGGAATGTGGAAAAAAGCAAACAGGAGCAGCCCTCAGTTTTTCAAAACGACTTTTACATTAAAAATACATCGTGTTTCATATTGTATTTTTATAGAAACAACAGCAGTCCTGCAGCATCATCCACAGTCTCCGAGAAAGTCAACAGCAAGAGCTTAGCCGTTTCCTAAATCCACCAAGCATTGAGACAACACAACCAAGTGAGGATATGAATGCTAATAGCCAAGATAATACACAGCCTGAGGTATAGTTTTGTTCAAATCCTTATTCTCAACATATTGGTCTAAACCAGTACCTTGTATAGATAAAATCTTCTTCATGGTCTGTGCACAGTCTCACAAGGGAGAAAATCTGACCTTGTGCAGAGCATCTTCAGAATATTCTAGAGCTTGACCTAGATATTTTTGGTAGCAGTGTATGTCCTACTCCAGAAGGCAGGAACACATTCTTCTTTAAGCAACAAAGTCTGCTCAAATCTTCTTTAAGTGCCACAATCACAGCATTGCAAAGAATTTGTCTAAGGGTGCAACTACACTGGCAAGCTAAATCAGAGCAATTTGGTTTTGCTCTGACTTGATTCACAGTCTCTTTTATGGACTATTCAGTTTAGGTGTTCACACAGCGATCCTGGATTTTTTTGGTGCCAGTGACTATTTACAATATTTTACAGTATTTTTTAGCTGCACCTTTACCAGTGGCTACATTGGTCCTCAATCTGATGTAGTACATGCCCACATGTTTGAGATTTTTTTTTCTCTTTCCTATGTTTTGGTGCTTCTTTTCTATTCATTTTCCATTTTTCTACAGATTAGGATGATGGTGGTGACAATGATTTGAGACATTTCTACCCTTCCTTTCCAGTACTAATATAGTGTTCAGGATAGCTGCAGAAAACAATAAATATTAGTAAAAATAAATGTAGCCATATAATGGTTAAAACCAAATAAAGCCAAATGCAGCCCTGAAATCTGTTAAAATCAATTAAGTATACAAATAGCTAAAATCATCACCATAAATTATACATTATGTCAATTTTAAAATATCAGTAGAAGCTGATTGCAAGTCAGAGTGGAGTTCCAGTGCCCTGGAAGATTAACCTGTTCTGTAGACGGTACTATTCATGGCAAAGCTATTTCCCTGGCAGCCCATGCTTCAGGCAGCAATGGGTACCTCATCGCATTACTGCAGGATGAGCCTCACCCCCATCTCCCCATCCATTGACACTATGGACTGCTGGCAATTGGTGTAACTAACATCAAGTCCAACCAAACTTTCTTTCATCAGCCTGATCTGACCAATGTGAAGATGACGGGGACTTGCCCTATCATGTGCTGTCACAGATTATCCTAAAATCTTTGTACCAGTGATTAATATAAATGTTCTAGTGAATCTAAAGAATAGAGCCTTTAACTACTTGTGGCACAGTGGTTAAACTGCAGTACTGCAGCCAAAGATCACAACCCAGGATCAATCCCCGATAGTCAGCCTGACTCAGCCTTTCCATCCTTCTGAGGTTGGTAAATTGAGTGTCCAGCTTATGGGGGTGGGTGGGGGTGGGAATGTGTAGCGTGCATAAACCACCCAGAAATTGCTTTAAGTGCTATGGTGTGGTATATAAGCAGCACACTTTGCTTTTTTTGCTTTAAACCACAACCAGCAAAGGGTCAACAATGAAAAGATACTGTTTTCAATATGTTTATGCCATATGTCATTAAAAGGGTATTTGATATCTTCTCGTTTTCTTGTTCCTTGTATTCAGACAAGTAGTCAGCAGCAACTTCTCAGTCCAACACTTTCTGACAGAGGAGGGTATAGACAAGATTCTACTGAAGCTGGTAAACCTCAGCGCAAGTTTGGGCAGTGGCGTTTGCCATCAGGTAGGTGAAGAAGATTGTCATAATAATAAATACATGCTGTCAAGTTAATACCATCTTCTGTAGACCCTTTTCAGGGTTTTCCAGGTAGAAAACATTCGGAAGTGGTTCATTCTTCTTCTGGGGGCACCCTAGGACTGTGCAGCTTGCCCAAGGCCGCACAGGCTGGCTGTACTCACAGGAGACATACTAGGGAATAGAACTCCCCATCTCTGGCTCCACAGCCAGATAGCTAAGTTACTGAGCTATCCAGCCCACAAAGAGTATCATAAAGGATGCAAATGTCAAATGAACTTGGAAAATGTAACTCAGAGTTTTTATGTAATGACGCAAGTCAGAAAAACACCCAAAAGGGTATGAGAGCATGTTCCCTCATAGAGAACAGAGATGGATAGATAACCCTCTCTTATTCTGCTCCATCTCTACCTATAGCAGTAAGTTTCAAAGTTTCTACCATCAGGGAACACTTTCCACAACACTTTGTGTGTTTTGAAATCTATATGCATCATTAGCAGATTTCCTGTGTATTGAAAGGAACCTGGACCACTCATGGTAAACAAACAGTCTTCCTAAGAAACTAGTTCTCTATTATATATGTTCTCACTGAGGAGCCTCTGGGAAATATCATCAGATTGGTAGGAACACAGTTTGAAAAGTGTTGCTCTATAAGAAACAGTTTCCCTGAGGAGTCTTTAGGATTAATGTTGAAATGTAGGTTGGGGGAGGGGGTAAGGTCTATCTTCCTTAAAGAACACCAGCCTGCCTGCCATAAAACAAGGTTCAACTATTAATTCACCTGCTCTTTAAAACATACATGATGCTTGCCCTAAATGGGAAAAGAAAAGGGAAGTAAGAAAACAGAACAGATAGCAATGAAAACTGCCACCTTGCTACTTCCACACCAACTGAATAGAGCTAGTAGAGCTTAGCAAGAGTTTCTCCACCATGATGTCTCCCCTCCAACTCATAGGATTGTTTGGCCTGCATGAAAGAAGTCTGCAGTAGTAAGTAGCCTTCTGTTTGCCTTCCTAGCTCCAAAGCCAATAAGCCATTCAGTGTCTTCAGTCAATCTACGGTTTGGTGGCCGTACAACCATGAAGTCTGTTGTGTGCAAGATGAATCCCATGTCAGATGCAGCTTCCTGTGGATCAGAAGTCAAGAAATGGTGGACAAGGCAACTCACTGTTGAGAGTGATGAAAGTGGAGAGGATCTGCTTGATATCTGACTGAGATGGGGAAGTGTCCGTTGAAGTCACCCTTATGCAATGCACCTTTGGTATACTTTTGTGTGTGTGTGGTTTAAAATTGCAGGTCTGAGATATGGACAATTGTTATCAAGGCAAGCTTTTGAACCTGTTGTCTTTCAACTTGGCAAGCTATACCAACTACTAATTGTTTTGAATCTAGTCTGTAGGTTTATGGTTAAGAACAATAACAAGAACTACAAATTATTGCGATATTCATAAATGACAAATTGCATTTAGCTTCCATCCCAAGAATCATGAGACTCGCTCCAAGTTCACAGCAGGAGATTCTGTCTTTCTGCAGTATCACTACATTGCATCCCAAGCTGCTTTTTAAAGTTGGGTGGGACAGGAACTTTGAAAGCAAGTTGATGTTGGATGTCAACAATTGGTAAAATCCAAAGCTACCCATCTGGTATGAGAATCCAGCCTTTGATGGTTACTTTCGAAATGGTCAACAATTCTAGAAATATGTGCAAGCAATGAGGATGCAATAATTTTGTTGAGCATGCTTTGGGAGAAATATTACATTGAAATGAATCTATTCCAAAGAAAATATTTGTATGGAATTATGTCTTAGTGCTCTCAAACATTTGGGTTTAGATAAGCACATATAATTTACACAGGATTTATATTTTGTATTGTTTTATACATTTAATTGTTTATGAATGTTAGTTGGTTTAATTTTCTATAGTAATTTTGTTAACCACCTTCGCCTCCTGAATAATCTGTATATACATTTTAAAAAGAAAGATACATGAATTGCAATGAGGGACCTCTATGAAAGCATATTTAAGAAGGTTCATTTTGTTGATTTTACATCCGAGTATTTGTTCAGAAGTATTGGTTCTATCTCTGCCCCAGTCATATATTTTGCATGGAAACAATCAGTATATCAAATGCAAGAACAGTATGATTCCTCTTGTTCTTTTTCCAATCCTTTAACAGTATTGAGTATTAGTACTAACAAATGGTACGTAGGTGAGCACAAAATTCACTTTAAATTGCAGTATTTTTACAACATACAGATCCTGACTCACAAATATTTACCTTTTCAGTATGCAAAATATAGAGTGGTGTGTTTAATCAGAAAATAGTTAATTGGGTTTTTAATAATTAATTTTGATTATTAATGTAAAGCCCTTAAAGTGCCGTGCACAAATTTCCTGACCATATACTTACTGAATATGTTTCTGATACTGTCATCTCTGCGGATATAAATAACTTGTGAGACCTAGAACAGGGGACATTGAATCCTGAGTTTGGTTCATTCCCTCTCCCCTGTAACTTTTTAATAAATGAGTCTTCAGAGCTACCTGGTGAGCAGGCTGTGTAATTTAAGGGATATATGTTGCTTAACCTGACAAGGTTCATCATGTGCACATGCCTGTGTATGACATGGGATACAGCACCTTTTAGGCATCTGAAGGACCCTCAGAAAGATAATCTGCACAGAAATTTGATTCTCTGCCTGATCTCTTTGCTGAAAACCGACAGCTATTCTTACAGAGATTAAAGAACTTTATTATTTAGATATTCTACTATGTGAAACACCATTACTGTTAGCTATCTGTGTATTCCTCATGTGAGGGTGGTACTTAAATTTATGCAATTATCAGGTTCCCTGTCCTTGTCAAGATGGTGTGTTTTTTTTCCATTTCTTTTCTTTCAATGTTTGGGAAATGTTTAACTCAAATTGTTATTGTGGGTGGTAAGGTTGTTGACATGTTTGGGAAACAAGATATCTGTCTATTTGGACATTCAGTTTTCCCTGACAAATGTGGCAACTCTCGAGTTCAAGTTCATTTGTGCAAAGAGTGGCAGTGAAGGAACATCTCTAGAACACCAAGTCACCAGACAAACTTTGGTATATGTCTGAGTCCCATAGAGAGATGCCTGAGACACATTTGCTCCAGCGCAGATTTAAAGAGATGGAAGGCCATAAAGGAAAGCTAGAGGGGGGACTTGTCTCTAACTGCTAGCATATTACAACATCTAAACTGGAAATATGCACTCCTAATAACAAGGATACCGCTGCTGGCAGAGACTAATCTCATGTATCAACGCACACAACATACTCCAAAATGGCCATCCAACTGCCTATAGTTTTGTGTTTGCCAAATTTATTTACAAACAGGATTTACTACCTCTGATATGTGCAAACTAAATCTAATTTATAGTACAAAATATAATTCTCTTTTAGTTGCCACTGAGACAGATGTAATCTTTCTAAGAATAAGGTTTCCAGGGTGATGTAACAGGATGTTACACCAGATCCGTACAGTATATAGACCCCACCAAGAAGGGGGAGACTCACTTGCATATCTTTATAGGGTTTTATATTCTCCATTACTAATTATGCTGCTGTTGAAAAACGAACGGCAACATAGCACAAGGGAGCAGTTGTTAAGATAGAGTTACTGTCCCAATATCATGTTCTTGCTTTATATTTTGTTATGTCAAAAGGATTAAAGTTCTGGCAGGACTGAGGCTGTAATCCTATGCATAATTACTTAGAAAGAACCCCCACCAAACATAGTGAAATGTGCCACTGAGTAAACATGCATAGATTTGCATTGTAAGTGTAATCCTTGGACTTCTCTTTCCAGTATAGCCAGATGTCATATAGGGTAAAACCAAACTGTGATGAATAACAGCCATCTTATTACTTCTACAGTTAAATGTAGTAGAGGAGAAGGAACAGAATTCTGACATCTTCACACAAACAACTGTGATTTTAGGGTTTTGTATCTGCTTCCCGACCTCAGCACCTTTGGGATGAGACCTTTGCCACTACCACTATTTCCTATGGAAATTATGTTGTGCAACTATGACGTGGCCTGGATTTTCTGAGACTCAACAAAAACATCAGAATTCATTAATGATATACTGATTGAAACTAACAACTGGAAAATGCCCATGTGCTCCAGTAGCCTTATGGACAGAAAAGCCCCAGCAACAAAGGTTGTTTTAATGGGGTTGTTTGTGCATTTGCTTTTAACACAACTTTTGTTTGAACCAAAAAGATGTGTTTCCACAGACTCATAAGACATTTGGTTCATAATCAACATTTTGGCCACATGTTATTTTAAATGTTGTTGCCTTCAAAATGTTATTAAACATTTATCTATGTGTACCTTTTCCTGATTAGGTTAAACATACAGATGGAAGAGAAGTCTGAGTTCCTGCAGTATGTTTCCTATGTGCTTTCTGCTCTTCAAATTAGGATCTATAGAAAACATCATTTCTATTATGGTCAGGGACTTTTGTCTTGTCTTTTATGTCTATTCCTTTGAACTTCAGATTTTGTACAAAAAAAAAGAGACAACAAGAGTGTTACCTGGGTTTATAAAGTATGTTTTCTTGAACTTTCAATAATGTTCTGCATTACAGAAACTTTCCTAGTTGTTATTATGACAAATGTTCTTTTTAAACTTCTGGCAAACCTTATTTTGCCATAATGTGTCAATAAAAGTGAGTTGCCTTCAGCTGTGTCTTTCCTCAAAATTTCAGTTGCTGCCCACTTGCTGCATGTGATTCATATGCTTGATGCAATGATTCAGCGATATACTTATTAATTTAAAACTCAGTACTAACTTTCTACCAAGTACTGGCTTCTTAGCAGCTGAAACAATTACCATTAAAACAGATATACATTTTATATTGAACAGGTAGCAGCAGACAAAAAAACGAGAAAAACTGTCACTCAGATTGTGACTGTCGCCACTCCTGCTGAGGCTGGGAATGACTGGGGGCACTTCCTCAGCCATACTGTAGGCTTCATGAACTCCAGACACTTATTGCTACTCAGGCTAGTCTTAATTAGGGTAGGAGAACAGAGTGCAAAGTTAAGCTGGGCACCTGGTTGTCCCCATCCCGACAGTCCACAGGAGATCTTAGTTCCCAGCCGAGCCCAGGTTCTTGTCACTGGGCCTGCACAGTCTGTGGCTGTGGTCTAGATTTCCACACTAACCTTGGTAAACTGATGCCCTTTAAGAAGGGCTGGTAATGGCAGGCCACTGCAAGCCCCTGAGTCCCACAGGTTTCTCTTGCCTCTGGAGTCTCTGCCATTGATGCTTGTGGGGCTTCCTCCGCTAGCATTGCCTCTGGGTCAGGGTGGGCTCAGTGGCTTGAGGCTCACCTGGGTGTCTGTGCTGAAGTTGTGGAAGTCCAAATTGGGCTGTAACCAGAACACACACCCCTACATGCTTTACCTGCAGGGAAGCAGAACCATTCAGCTGTCTGTGGGTCCTGCAGCAGCCAGTCCTCACTAAGGGCACAGAAGATGAGAGGGGACTTCTTTGAGTCCTCCCTTTTCACATCTGTTGAGGGCAAATACAGTGGTGCCTCGCATAATGAGCGCATCGTTTAACGACGAATCCACATAGCGATCCACTTTTTGGGATCGCTAATGCGATCGCATTGCGATGTTCTGAATGGGCAGCTGATCGATGGTTCCAAAATGGCTGCCGGGTGCCCAAAATGGCTGCCGCAAGCATTTTTGCGCGCTGCCCTCACTTACCGAGGTGGCGAAAATGGCAGCGCTATGGAGGATCTTCGCTGAACGGTGAGTTTGGGCCCCATAGGAACGCATTAAACGAAACCGATGGGGTTTTTAGTTCTGTTTAGCGACGATTCCAGATAGCGACGATTAATCCAGAACGGATTAAAGTCGCTATGCGGGGCACCACTGTAGTTCTTTTCCTCCTCCTTGAAGCCCAGGTACTGCCAAACTATCTCCACTCTTCCTTCAAGGTGTGTCTCATTGTCTCTGCCTCCTGATTCCCACCTGGGGACCTGGTCTTGCCTTCTGTGCCCTCGGGCCACTTTGCCACTGGGTTCTCCAAAACAGTTCGCTGGGAGGCGCAAGTCCAACGTAGATGGTCTTGTGGGAAGAACTGGAGTATTCCTCACACAGATGTCATCAAAACTTATAGGCAAAGTCACTAATTTAAAACTTCCTGATCCTGGTGTTTCACAAATAAACTTGGGGTGGCATTTTGTGTGACCTTACAAAAAAGTCTATGTCTCAGGTAGCCACTCAACTCACTTTAGAATTTAGAGGCATCCAAAACAGTTGTTCACTGCCCTTTGAAGGTATGAAAAAGTGTCACATACCTGGTCAGGTTGTTTCTCTAGTGCAGAGGCTGGTGATCTCCGCGAGGCCAAGGACCATTTCCCCCATTTACCAGCAAACTAAGGGCTACATTTCCAAGTAGCATAGCTAAAGAGGTTAATTTGTGTATTCAATGGTTTTATTCTTTTCAAAAATGCTGCTTGAAGGTATGGCATGTGACATACTGTCCATTTCTCTCAGTGGCTGTGCTTAGGCAGTTGCTCATAGATAACAGTTGCCTGTTTTTATCCCCCACCTTAGCAATGCTACAGGGCCCTAGTAGCAGTCCCACAACCAAAAATCAAGAAGTGAAGCTTTTGAAGCATGAAGATGACCTTAAGTTGCTTAATGCTGGTATGTCTGATTACTATGAAGTGTATACCCAAGCAAGGCTGCTGCTTCTCCAACATGAGTGTCTAAAAAACTGTGTAAAAAGATCTAAGGTAAGGTAAATTTGGCTTGTCGAACCCCAATTAGCTTCAGAATCCAAAAAGGATGCTTGAATTAAGATTTTGGTAGTATCTGTTTTTTTAAAAAAAGAAAAAAACTTGCATCAACCAGCAGAAAGGCAGATATTCATCCACAGTATTTCAGTAAGTTGACTATCGCATCATTGTCATGATCAAAATTATTGTTGCTGCTAGACCTCCCCTCACTTTGACTGTGTTTGGATTCCCACCTGACTGCTCTTTTGGTTTTGTACGAATCACTCTTGTCTTTACACAAAGAATCTGTGTAAACAGGTTTGCCGGCCCCATCCATTGTTCTACCAGGCATCAACCATCAGCCACAGCCTCACAGCAGCAGTACTTATGGTAACTTAGCGAAGCTCTCGTAATCGAAGGATTTGTGAATCCAGGAAATTCCTCTCAGGTTGCTCTTGCTGGTCAGCACTTCTGCAGCTAGGCCGGCCATCTGCTAATCCTACAGCCGAAGGGGAAGGATGGACTGCGATTTCAGTGGATGGATGTGAGGGAGAAAGTCAGCTGTTATGGCCTCTCCTCTGTATTCTCTGCTGCAACCATCTGCCCCCATCTGCTACAGTGCCGAGTTGGAGTATTTGAAGCTACAGTGGATGGGAGGAAAGAAGCAGGAGATTGCAGGAACACCTTGGTGGGCGAAGCTGCCCCAGCCATCTGCTGCACATCTATTCCAAACACGGGAGGCCCCCCCCCACCTGCCTAGTTCACAAGCTGGCAGCCCCAACATGCTCCACCTTTTAATTCCTCCCCAAACATCACTCAAGCTCTGAGGTCAGAAAATCATGCTGACCTGCCATTTCCATTCAGCCAGATGGCTCTATTTCCTGGATTTAGAAGTAAGAATAAGCCATTGTTTAATTCCTTTCTTGATATACTTCCATATTAACATAATGGAACCTGGCTGGGAATGATTGCTTTTTGTGCTGTTCATTCTTGCTTTTCGCACAGCAAAAGGACGCTGGCTGTAATTTAATTTAAGTAAGCAGTAGACATTAACCCATTCTGTATTTGGAACTGAAACACTGGGAAGCTCCGGTGATGCACAACTTGTGAGTAGTCTTGCTGAGAATCAAGCTGCTACTGCACAGGTGAGTTCAGGCATGTATCTGTTCTTTCCTCCATGGAGTACTTGTCTTATGGCAAGCAATGACCTGAATGTGGGCAGCTACACAGAGCAAAGGTCACAGCCAGGGCATTCATGTTGTGTCACATCACCAGGACCTCTGGAGGGAGTTTAAATATTCATTTGTGACCCAGAAGTTGGAGTACAACCCCCCACCATGTTGGCTGAATTTGAGAGGAGTTACAGGTCAGTATCCTATGAAGTATTCACTGAGCAAAATCATCATAACCCTTGCCACAAGTGTTGCTGTCACAGATAGCAGGTTTTCTCTTCATTAAGGTTTTCTTGTGCAATGGGAGGGACTTGGGGAGGGAATTTCTTACTGACGTTTGGTAAGATGCTGGTCAGGGTCACACGCATCAGGTTATGGGAAATTGACGTACAGATAGGCGTACAACAGGCCCAAATTATATGTTGTGCACTTCCAGATTTGTGTAAATAACACTGCTGTGGGTAACTTCTGCCTTTTGAACACTAGAGGGCTGGCACTACCTTCTATTTGGTTTCTTCAGCCAGAGTGATATTGCAACGTGAACTACGATTTAAAAAGAAAAAAATTATTTATGTATTTATTTATTTATTTGATTTATACCCCGCCCATCTGGCCTAAAGGCCACTCTAGGCGGAAAAAAAGATTATTTAGTAGTTTGTTTGAAGATCAAAGCTTCACACTGTAGTCTCTGCACAAGGTTCGTTGACTCTTCTGTTTTACACAGAAATTTTCTGCCAAGAGGATAGCCTCTAAAGTCTGGTCAGAAGAGTTTCAATATATTTGGATTAGAACGTTTTAGTTTTCCAAATATAACCAGATTGTGAGAAAGCTATTTTTTGATCCAGAAATCCCAGAGTCCTCTAGCCCAGTGGTTCTTAACCTTTGTTACTCGGATGTTTTTAAAACTGCAACTCCCAGAAACCCCAGCCAACACAGTTGGTGGTGAAGGCTTCTGGGAGTTGCAGTCCAAAACTCCTGAGTAACCCAAGGCTAAGAACCAGTGCTCTAGCCCAGTGGTCTCCAACCTTGGGCCTCCAGATGTTCTTGTACTACAATTCCTAGAAGCCTTCACCACTCCCAGGATTTCTGGGAGTTGAAGTCCAAGAAAATCTGGAGGCCCAAGGTTGGAGACCACTGCTCTAGCCAGCATGTTGGCAGGGGGATATCAAGGTTGAAGAACAAAAAAAGTGGCTTACCAAAGTTCTGACATATAAAGTGACAACAGTTCTCATGAGAGGTGTAAGCACTTAACCCAGTGGTTCGCAAACTGGAGCCCCAGATGGCTTTCAGAAGCCTTAGCCAGGACAAACAGGGATCAGGGCATCTGGAAGTTACAGAGCAAGAACTGTGGGACTTCAAATTTGGGGACCACTGCCCTATCTGGCAGTTTGGAGAGAATATTGAGACAGGGGCTTCTTGTGGTTGAACCCAGGCTTTGCTATTGCATTCCCATAACCTTGAGAGAATCATACACCTCCTTTCTGTGCCTTTCTGCCAAATGCCAGAAATTATTATATTCCAGCAAGCTTTCACCTCTCAGGCTGATCTCTCTTTTGCCCAAGGATATGCTTTTATTGCTTCACAAGTCTTAGCGTTTTAGCCAAGCACTGTTTTCAGGTATGTCTCTTCAGTTAATTTGTAAAAATTGGTAAAAATCTTACTGCTTCTGCAATTTTCTTATTGTTAGAACTTTAGTTTCCTTTTTGGAGTAAAGAAGGGTTCCAATTTCTAGCAACAAAGAAGCAAATAAAATTGGCTGCTGCCCATAACGCATT